ACTCCTCAAAGAACCATAAGCACTAGAGATACAAAACAGCTTCATGGTTGTAATTTATCTGGTGACACTTGTACAGCGATCCAAGCCGGCAGTGCTGCCAGCTGTTCCCGTCTAATCATCACCTGTTGCTCTTAGTCACACAGTCCCCAAATTATGACTAATCAGGGGATCACGCACAGAGGTTGTTAAATATTTTAATCCTAACAAGGGCCAGGCCATCCATGAGAGACTTCTCCGAAGATGCAATTTAGCATCAAAGTACTCTGTGATAGATCCTCGCTTTCTATGTAAGCCTTCTTTGCAATGCGCCCCCACTCTCCCTGCAAAGAAAGATCTCACAATAATTATATTTTCACATGAAGCGTTCCATTAGAAACCTGTTCCTCACCGGAGGAGTTGAAGGGAGGAAAGCTCGCCACCATGCATCCTTAGCAGCCTCCATTTATGATGGCCCCAGTGAGAAGGACTGAATGAACACTTCAATGCCTTCATTATGTCTCTTGCTTTAATGGTCCTGTGTGCCTTTGGAGGCGCAGAAGTCACTGCCGCTGCCTTACAGGCGCCTGAATATTTCTCTGTAATTTGAGCAGCACTGGGTTCTCACTGAAGTTCTTCAGTATGTCATCTGGTTGGGCTCATTTGATCTTCCCCATTTCCCCTTCCATTTTATAGTCTTTCCATTGGCAGCTGGAGAAAGCTTTTATCTAATTCTTGAACTCAGCCTTTAGTCAATGGGTATTTTATGGACTCACAGTGCAAAGCATTGGCAAACGTGAGCCCCAGCCATTAAAGAAATGGGCAGTATTTAAAGCTGACTTTGATTTCAGCGCAATTTTTTCTTCCTTTGTAATTTTTTTTTTTTAAAGAACAGAAGCAGCTGGATGGCGAAGGGAACAGATGAATCAATACCTACACAGGCCATTATTATTGCGGTGCTCACACCAAAGCAGGGTGCCATGCGAACACTAGGGAGAGACAGCCCTCTGCCCCAATGAGATCACCATCTAATCAGACCAGGCAAACAACAGGAGAAAGGAGGGAATCTTATCCCCATCTGAAAGATAAGAAATTGACGCACGGAGACAGGAAGTGACTTGCCCAGGGTCACACTGCAGGGCTGTGGCAGAGCCAGGAATTGAACACAGACCTCCAGAATCAAGAACATCTGTCCTCTGCAGGGTGACCTGGCAGAGACAGAGAGTTCAAGTAAAATTGTGTGCACTACTTTGGTGGTGTCAGGATGGGGTTCCATGTCACAAAGATCTGCTGAACTCACACCACTTGTCCCTTTGCTGGCATCTTAGTGGAGGTGTCTGCCGTTCAATGGGTCATGGAGACACATGTCCACGGCAGGTCAGGACTGAGACAATTTAGCAGGGCAACACCAGGGAAGCCTGCAGTGCTACTTCCAGACACGCACCTGCGGGAAAATGCAAGGAGGAATTTGGTCTCTAGGGGTACGTCTAGACTACAGGCTTCTGTCGACAAAACTTCTGTCAACAAAGAGCGTCTAGACTACATTGAGTTCTGTCGACAAAGCAAGCTGCTTTGTCGACATGGTAGTGTAGACGCAAAGGACAGTTTACATTCAATAGCACCTTCTGTTGACAGAAACTCTGTCGACAGAAGGTGTTATGCCTCGTAAAATGAGGTTTACCAGCGTTGACAAAACTGCTGAGTTCTGTCGACGTTATGTCGACAGAACTCAGCGGTAGTGTGGACGCAGGTATAGTTTTGTCGACAAAAGTCCAGTTTTGTCGACAAAACTCTGTAGTCTAGACACACCCTAGGATAGGAACTCGCGTACTGCCCTGGGTGGTGGGTGAATGCCCAAGATGGGGAAGGCAAACCCCAGGACCTCCGCTCTGCTTGGCCCTGCTTCTTCTGCAACCCTCCCCCTGCCCTGTGGAGCCAAGCCTGGCTCCCACCCCAGGTTACTGCCCCCCTAGTCCACTCAACATCCCTTAATCTCACCGGCCCGCTGGAGAACTGAGCAGTCATGCCACATACCTCTCAGGCGGTGGGGACCTGGGCAGTTTGGGGAAGGCAGTACTTTCCCTTGCCTACATTAACCACCGCCCATGCACACTGCCCTGACAGGCACCTGGAGAACAGAGATAGACAAAGCTTTTCATCACCACATTTTTGACCAAACACATTTTCTAATTCTAGGAATTTGTTTTTCACCTGTCGCTAAAGGGTTTTCTTGTGGGGCGGGTGGAAATCACTAATTTGCAGGGGCCAGATGTTTACTTAATATCCCCCAAAAGTTGAAGAAATGGTGTGATGGAAACAATAAATGCCACTGCAGTCTTTAAGGGCGAAGGGGAATAAATTCCCAGCATGGAGGAATGGATGGCTTCATCTCACACCCCTTTCACCAGCACAAAGATACTCAAAATTGTACTTCACTGAATCTCGCAAATTAAAGTCCTGTTATGTCCCATTTAGTCCATGCCCCTGGCAATGCAGAATTGTTCACTACAGGGTATTTTCTATTGCTTTGTTCAGTCTAGTTTTTAATTTCCCATTGTTAATAGAATGTTCTTTATATGCAAAAGAAGGCGTTCCACTTGTGCAAAAGCTCTGTCCTGAGGTGCCTTTCAGAGCCTAAAGTCTGAATTCCCTGCTTCCACCCCCCCTAAAGATATCTGTCCTTCTCCAATGAAGGGTGTCCCAGGAAACCAATCAACAAGTTATTTTAAAACTCCTCTCCTTATACAAACGGTGGGCTGCAGGATTTGAGGCAGAAGCCACAGGGATTTCTGAAGGAAGCCGAGCTGATACTAATTAATATGTCTGGTTCAAAAGCAATTATGCCAATTACATCTTTAATTTAATCATGGCAAAATTTGGGACTCTGAGAAAATGTGAATAAATAGTGCTAAAAATATTAACATTTCCCTGACGAGCATCCCCACCGGATCCTGGCTGAGTGAGTGCCACTAAAAGCTATACTTACCCAGCCATCTTCGGCAGGGATTTTGTCTGAAAACTGCGGGGCTAGTACTGAGAACAGACTTGTGCGATTTACAGACTCCTCCATTCTCCACTTGCCCGGGGTCTGCACATGGCTGAAGCCAAGACACAAGTGTTGATCCTTGTTGGGTCTGTAAACAGGGCTTCTGTCAACTAGCCTTGCCTGGCTCAGCAGGCATTTGCTCTGTGACTCGCATCTTAGCTTCAAGTCTTTTGCAGAGCTACCTCAAGGTCAGGGAAGAGGGGTTACACTTTCTAGGGCAGCCAGACGTCTGCATTTTCAATAGGCTGTTTCCAGAAGCTCCTGTACTTGTACCTTATTCCACTCCCTCCGCCTCATGCTTTTGTTGGCAGTGTGGGACTGGGAAGTCCTTTGCCATGACTTTCATAAGTGGCTTGTAACTCTAAATCTGATGAGGTTCAACAAGGTCAAGTGCATCTGGGAGGGAAGACTCTCAAGCATTGTTACAGGCTGGGGACCGACTGGCTAAGTAGCAGTTCAGCAGAAAAGGACTTGGGGATTACAGTGGATGAGAAGATGGATATGAGTCAACAGTCAAATGTGTCCTTGTAGCCAAGAAGGCATGCATATTAGGGTGCATTAGGAGAAGCATTGCCAGCAGACCCAAGGAAGTGATTATTCCCTTCTATTTGGCACTCGTGAGGCCACATCTGGAGTATTGCGTCCATTTCTGGGTCCCCTACTACAGAAAGGATGTGGACGCATTGGAGAGGGTCTGGCGGAGGGCAACTAAAATGATGAGAGGGCTGAAGCACATGACCTATGAAGAGAGGTTGAGGAATGTGGGTTTATTTAGTCTGCAGAAGAGAAGAGTGAGGGGGGATTTGATAGCAGCCTTCAACTTCCTGAAGGGAGGTTCCAAAGAGGATGGAGGGTATGTCTACACTACCCTCCTAATTCGAACTAGGAGGGTAATGTAGTCATCCGCACTTGCAAATGAAGCCCGGGATTTGAATTTTCCGGGCTTCATTTGCATGAAGCCGGCCGGCGCCATTTTTAAATGCCAGCAGTTTGAACCCCGTGCCGCACGGCTACACGCGGCATGGAGTAGCTAGTTCGGATTAGGCTACACGCAGCACGGAGTAGCTAGTTCGGATTAGGCTTCCTAATCCGAACTAGCTGTACTCCTTATTCCACGAGGAGTACAGCTAGTTCGGATTAGGCTTCCTAATCCGAACTAGCTACTCCGTGCCGCGTGTAGCCGCGCGGCACAGGGTTCGAACTGCCGGCATTTAAAAATGACGCCGGCCGGCTTCATGCAAATGAAGCCCGGGAAATTCAAATCCCAGGCTTCATTTGCAAGTGCGGTATGCCTACATTACCCTCCTAGTTCGAATTAGGAGGGTAGTGTAGACATACCCGGAGTGAAGCTGTTCACAGTTGTGACGGATGGAAAACAAGGAGCAAAAGGTCTCAAGTTACAGTGGGGGAGGTCTAGGTGGGATATTAGGAAAAACTATTTCCCTAAGAGGGTGATGAACTACAGGAACGGGTTACCTAGGGTGGTGGTGGAATCTCCTTCCCTAGAGGTTTTTAAGTCCTGGCTTGACAAAGCCTTGGCTGGGATGATTTAGTTGGTCCTGCTTTGGGTAGAGGGCTGGACTCGATGACCTCCTGAGGTCTCTTCCAGCCCTAGGATTCTATAATTCTATGATTTGGGGGCCCAACCTGAGATGCCATAAAGGGGCCCTGTGCTGAACACCCACTGTCTGAAATGCAGACTGTCCCTGTGCCATGTGCCCACTGTGAAATGCAGACTAGCCCAGTGCCCAGCACCCACTTTTGGAAATGCAGACTTCTTTATCAGGGGTCTCAAGCTGAGTTCCCAAAACTTGAGATTTTCCCAAACCACTACTCACATCGGAAACTTGGCCAAGCTTGTCCCTGCAGTGAGTGCCTAGCTCCATGTGCATTTCTGCTCTGCCTTTCCTGCTCCGTTATGCCCTTCTCATACAACCTCCCTAACAACAAAGCTTTTGCTTTCCATCTGCCACCACAGGTTCAGCCCCTACGAGTGGTACGACGCTCACCCCTGCAATCCGGGGTCAGACATCGTGGAGAATAACTTTACTCTGCTCAACAGCTTCTGGTTTGGAATGGGAGCGCTAATGCAGCAAGGTACGGCTGTCTTCCCCTGTCCCCCACACCCTGCTATTTTCTGTGACCAAGGGAGCTTTTGCTTGGTGTTTGAGTTGTGACAGGAGCAAGTTAAAACATAGTTGTGCTTGTCAAAAACAACTGACTGTAGCAAAAAGAATAATGCAACAGCCCTGGGCCCTGGTTGTCACCCAGCAATAGAGCCGCCGAGAGAAGCTGTGTCACTGCTCACTGACAAGCACAGACATTGGGTTTGAAATTGTGGCGTTTGTCTCGTAACAATTACAGAAGTGCTTGTCAACACCGGCTTTTTGTCTCCGTGCCGGGAAGGCAGTTAGCTGCAGGAACTGGGAAAATAGCTCTCCTCTGACAGTTTTACGGCTCATGGTATCCACTGTGGAGTGAAGTATTTGTCTCTCCTATTACTCTTTCTGATTGAGATATACTATACACATGTGGCTTGCTAAGACAGAAGCAACTCTCCGGAGAGTTGATTGGATGGCGTGTGTTGCATACTGTGCAGGGCTTTGCGTTATTCAGCTACACATATGCCTGTCAGCCTAGTGCAAATAAGGCCAGAAAGGGGTTAATTAGATTAACGCCTAAGCCCAGGTCTACACTGAAGGGAAAGGTTGGATTAAGATACACAACTCCAGCTATGTTAATTATGTAGCTGGAGTTAACGTACCTCACTTTATGTTTTCCCACCATCCCCACAGCAGGAGGTCAACAAGAGAAAACGCTCCTTTCAGCTTCCTTTACTCCACATGAGGATCAGGAGTAGTGGCACCAACAGTGACCCCCTCTGAGTTTGATTTAGCGGGTCTTTACTAGACCTGCTAAATCAAACTCCAGAAGAAAGGTAGTGTCAATCTTCCGCATAGTGAAGACGTGGCCTAAGTGGAGTTAATCTGTTTAATGGAAACCAGCCCAGAAGGGTGGGGGCTATGTATAGCATTATTCACTGCATGATTTTAATTTCATTTGTAGATTCTATTCATGGGCTTTGTGTAGCTGGCAGGAAATAGGGAAGAAAGGGTGTTACACACTAGTCGGGCAGAGACATGTGGCAGAACTAACCCAGCCTGAGATATGAAGCCAGATGCCTTAGCCTGAGGCTCGGGTCCAGAGGCTCTCCAGAAAACTTGGACAGTTCCTCATGTGTCAGAGTCAGAGGAGACTGGGGCTGAAGGACTCTTCTTTGCTCACCCACCAGAGACTAGGGTGTTCTTTTTCATCTTATCTCCTCACATGGGTGGAGGCAGGCATGTACTCACCTCCTGCTCTGAATTATCGAAAACAGAGATTGCTTCCACTGTGGAAGCAGCTAGGGAAGTGCCTGGTCTCTGGTAAGATTGGCCAAGCTAGAATACTTCCAAGGGACTGTCAGTTAAAGCCATGCTGCCCGATCTGCCATCAGCAGAGAGCTTCGGCTTTATGCTTCTCAGTATAAAGAAGCCCCTTTTCTATGACCGTTCTCTTTCTACCCGCCAAGTAAAAAAGCATAAGAACATTAGAACAGCCAGACTGGGTCAGACCAAAGGTCCATCTAGCCCAGTATCCTGTCTGCTGACAGTGACCAATGACAGGTGGCCCCAGAGGGAAAGAACAGAACAGGGAAACATCAAGTAATCCCTCCCCTGTCACCCATTACCAGCCTCTGACAAACACTTGGGACACCATTCCTACCCATCCTGACTAATAGCCATAAATGTATCTAGCTCTTTTTTTGAACCCTGTTAAAGTCCTGGCTTTCACAACATCCTCTGGCAAGGAGTTCCACAGGTTGACTGTGCATTGTGTGAAGATATACTTCCTTTTATTTGTTTTAAACCTGCTACCTATTAATTTCAACCAACCTATTAAGTTCTGAAATCATCCCGGCCCTGTTGAACACCTGTTACAAATCTCATCTAGCTGAGCAGGCCGTGGCATAGGATTGAGGGTGGTTTCGCTCTGGTTGGGAGGTATAGTGACAGTGTTAAGCTGTACTAGTTACGTGATGGGTGACTGGAAGTGCTCTGAAGGGAAGGAGAAGGCAGCTACTGCTGCTGCTGCTTTGGATGGTTTATGTTTGGCCACTCCAGTGTCAAATGGAGTTTGACATCAAAATTGTACACAGATGCCAAGAGTGCCCAGAGCATGGGACGGAGTTGCCAGTGCGTCAAACTGATATTAAGAATGAATAAATAAATAAAGTGAGTTACAAAATCTTCAAGGTCCAAGATTCAGCCAGGCCTGACCCTCACCTCTTTGTGGGAGTGAAGTTTTGCACCCGCTTCTTTTTGTACCAGTAGTTTCTTGTGGATGCGGGATCCCCCATTTAGCTCTGCACTAGCTGCAGGAGCAAGGGGGTAACTTATCCACACACATGCAAAAACAACTACAATATGGCTGCAATTTTTAGAGGCACAAGCTCTGTTAGAAATAGGGAGTCTCTCTTCTGAGAAATATACCCCTAAAGAATCAGCCGGAGGTGCATTTGCAGGTGTGCATAGGTTTGTGTGTGCGAGAGAGGGAGAAATAGCCACTCTGAATGTTAAAATGAAAACACATTATTTTACAAAGCAACTCAGCAGTTTAAATTCACCAGTTGCTCCGCCTCCCCCGCCATCTCTTTCATTGATAACACACCTTTAATAAGGTAAGCAATTTATTTACATTCGGGAAGATCTAACCTCCCTCACACCATTCATTGGGTCTTACACAATGCATGAGGTCGAAGTTGTGGTTCCCACATGGTTACTCCATCTTAGTATTGCACTGAAGGGAGAACAGAGAATAGACAGACCCTAAAAGAACAGAACCCTTTGGCTATGTCTACACCACAAGTTTTTTTGGCAGAAATATGCTAATGAGGGACACATTAGCATAAGTCGCGACATCATTAACATAAAGATCCAGGACAGGCATAAGGATCTTGCAGAAAATAGGGGGTTTGCACAAAACGGAAGCAGCTACACTGCTTCTTTTTGTGCAAAAACCCCTTGTGCAAAAAGAAACAGCAGAAAATATGCTAATGATGTTGTGACTTATGCTAATGAGTCCCTCATTAGCATATTTTCTGCCCAAAAAAACTTGTAGTGTAGATGTAGCCTCTGAGTAAGGCTTTGGTCATTCACTTCATACTGCATCCAAAATACAACCCAAGGGTTTCAGCTCAGTGAATTGAGAAGAATTTCAAAAGCTAAAAACTCATCCACCTCAGGGTCATCTTTAGGATGTATGAGGCCCTATGCAGTACTATTAAACAGGTGCCCCTGTGACTGATGGCAGCTCGGGGGGCGAGGGGGTGATTTTTTTTAGAGACGTGATTTTATAATCTTCAGCCACACTTTAATGACGTATTTTAAAGCAAATTTTATACTCAGGCCCTGTAGCCTGACACAGTAAATTCAGACACTGACAGGATATACCTGGGGTTGGCAAATACTTATTAAATGGCTTCATTACCATTTGAATGGCTCTCTCACATGTTGGCTACGTCTACATTGGCAAGATTTTGCGCAAATACTTTTTAACGCAAGAGTTTTTGCGTTAAAGTATTTGCGCAAGAGAGCGTCTACACTGGCGTGTGCTTTTGCGCAAGAGATGTGCTTTTGCGCAAGAGCATCTGTGCCAGTGTAGACGCTCTCTTGCACAAGAAAGCTTCGATGGCCATTTTAGCCATCAGGCTTTCTTGCGCAAGAAATTAATGTTGCCTGTCTACACTGGTCTCTTCCGCAAGAACAGTTTGCTCAAAAGGGCTTATTCCTGAGCGGGAGCATCAAAGTTCTTGTGCAAGAGGCACTGATTTCTTACATTAGAACATCAGTGTTCTTGCGCAAGAACTCGCGGACAGTGTAGACAGGCGGCAAGTTTTTGCGCAAAAGCGGCTGCTTTTGTGCAAAATCTTGCCAATGTAGACACAGCTGTTCAGTGTTATGCTAATAGCTCTGACAGGCTTTTTCACTGTTAAGTTAACTAGATCCTCTCCAGAGGAAGCAGAGCCACACAACAGGGATAGGAAGAGCAGGGAAGGTGGACATTAAGACCCAGTGGTGCCCCAAATTTTCAGGTGCCCTACGCAACTACCTATTATGTGTATGGGTAAGGACATCCCTGCATTCACCAATCCTTGGCACCGGTAATTTATAAAATACACGATAGCTGCCAATTAAATAACTGAAACTGCCTTCAAACAGCTGTTTCCTTGGCTAGCAATGTAAATGCTCATCCTCTAGGGAGAGCTATATCATGAAAGTACAGTCTGTGGTATCTTTCCTCTCCCACATGTCTTCTCCACATACCTACAGCCCCCTTGTTTATATCTGGAGGGGTGCGGATATCCGCAGATCGTTTTTGCAGATGCGGATACCAATTTTGTATCTGCACGGGGCTCAACCCGTCTACGTCCCATTCTTGAGGAAGCTGAGCACCATTTGACAAAACGTACTGGGGTGCTTTTCCAGCCCGCCCTTCCATGCTGCCTGCATGAGTGACTGTTCGAGGGGTTCTTTGCTACCATGGTTACAGGAACCTTAGCAATAGGATGGATGGATTAGAGCCGAGCTGTTCCGAGGAGAGGACAGGCTTAGCTGGAGACTTCCCTTGATTAGAGCCTTCCAACTTTCAAACACCAACGTTCAAAGTAAGTATACCAGAACTGACAAGCTGCTGAGGCCCAGCGGTAGGGCCCAGTTTGTGGCAGAGACCCAGAATGCGGGACATACAAGAATTACCAATGCCAAAACCAAACAGCTGCTGGATTCCTTTGTTCATGTGACCGGATCCGTTTACAGCCTCAGTCTCAGGAGGTTTTATCCTTTGTTGTGAATCATTTTCTGTAGGCCAGGTGAGAGGCCACTAGGGAACTTTGGGACTGAAATACGGGCTGTGTGCGAGGGATGACTTCAGTGAGTTCAGAAATAACCCAGCTCCGGCTGTGTGCAAAGCAGGGGTTGGCGCTCGGCCCTACTTGGGTGTCATTTGTCTGGTTGCCTGTCCAGGAAAGATAGTGACACTGAAGAACAATATCTAATCATTTGTTGGAAAGAGACGTATTCTAACCAATTTTTTAAGGTTAAAAGGCAAATTAGTTTGTACAAAAACTGGCTAATCCAGGGATGAGAAACCTTTTTTAGGTCGGGGGCCGCACAAAAGTGAAAAGCATAAAACACACCCAAGCGTCACATTCCTCTCACACACCAGAACCTGTGGGGGGAGGCAGGCTAGTAGATTTGGGAGTGGGGGGCTACACTCTGTGGTGGAGTCAAAAATGAAGAGTTCAGTGTGTGGGAGGGGGCTTCCAGGAAGCAAGCTTGGGGTGTAGGGTCTGGGGGGGAGGAAGGGTGCAGGCGCAGGCTGGGGGTGGGAGGTAGGATACAAGAGCAAGCTGGGGGTGCAGGGCCTGCGTTGGAGGTTGGATGCAGGGCTGGAGTGCTAGCTCCCCAATGCTGAGGGGAGCCCCAACCTATGTGACCTAGTCCCCAGCCCATTGGTTGTAATCCTTTTTTCAAGGACTAGTGTAGTCCTTTTTTCCAGACTCTTAACCTCCATTGGGAATAATTCTGGGCTGCATCTACATTGCTGCTTCTCGCTCAGCACATAATGGGACCAAATCTGGTCTGCAAGCAGCCGCAGATCCATAGGCCCACTGTGCCCTGGAAGAACCAGGGAAACTCACTCCCATCCCACGTTACCAGGCAAGGTGATTTGCCGAGTATGGCTCCTCACAGCTCCTGTACAACCTCTGCTTTTCCATCTGGGCTCTTCAGTCACTTGTCAAGCACCATCTAGTTTTAATGTTTGCCCAGACTGGAGCAAACAGATAGTGAGAAGAGTGATAGAAGAGTGAGCTCTGATGGTAAAGGGATGGCTAGATTCAGATTGTGAGAGGTGCCATGGGGGGTAGTGTGACTTACTAGGGCTACAAAACCCTGCCCATGCTGCGCCAAAACTTGTCTCTCTAATTTCACATAAGGCCTGGTCCGAAGCCCCTCCGGAGCCAATGAAAAAGCTCTCCTTGGGTTCACAGCCATGATCATTTACACCAGAAACTCACTCCTCTGAGTTCATATATGACATACACACAGTCAACTCTACACATGGAATTCCCAGGGTAAGAATTTGTTTGGCAAATAATTTCTAAAGTCGGGAATAAAATTCAAGAAAATTGTGATCTAGTTGCAGACCACTGAGGAACAGAGGAATGTAATGTATCACATGTGATTAATTCTGAATTATTTCACCCAGATCCACTTATATTCATGGCCGGGAAACTGAAAGAACCCAAAGCTTAAGTGACATCCACCATAAATATTGCTGTGTTCCCCTTGCTGGCACTGTAGCAATATTGAAACAAAGATTCTTCCCAGAGCTGGACAAGGGCAGTAGCTAGGGAGACATGGTAGCAGGGTGAATCCCTCCCTTACTGGATGCAGTTAAATTAGAGATCCTGTATTGATATTGTTTTTAACTCCATTTTGCCTCTAATTCGAAAGTGATTTTCAAAGCTACTCCTTCAGCCGCATCAAAGGGTGAGATGGAACAGAACAGGAGTAAGTTCTCAATGAGAACTGAAATGAAAAATAGTGAAAAGGCTGAAGGCTGAACCTCTCTAGTCCGGCACCCTCGGGACATGGTGGGTGCCGAACCATAGAATTTGGCAGACCACAGGAGGTCAATATTGTCTAGCAGCATTACCAACACTACCCCTGTCTAGTGGGCTCTTAGAAGACATTTAGGGTATGTCTAGACTACATCCCTCTGTCGCCAGAGGGATGTAAATTAGACATACCGACATTGCAAATGAAGCTGGGATTTAAATCTCCCGTGCTTCATATGAATAAAAATGGCTGCTGCATTTTGCCAAGTCAGCAGTTGGCAAAAAGCAGCTGTCAAGACGGGGATCAGGCGACAAAGAAAGCCGTTGTCGCCCAATCCTCGTCTTGACAGCTACTTTTTGCCCACAAATTGCTGACTCAGTAAATCGCGGCAGCCATTTTTATTCAACTGAAGGGCGGGAGACTGAAATACTCGCTTCATTTGCAATGTCCGAATATCTAATTTACATCCCTCTGGCGACAGAGGGATGTAGTCTAGACATACCCTAAATGTCTTCTAAGAGCCCACTAGACAGGGGTAGTGTTGGTAATGCTGCTAGACAATATTGACCTCCTGTGGTCTGCCAAATTCTATGGTTCGGCACCCACCATGTCCCGAGGGTGATTGATTTACATCTTTCCGGTCGTTCGCCATTTTTTGAAATTTACAAGTCTGGACTAACTGCCCGTGTCTACACATGGCAGGGACCCGGTATTTCGAAGTAAAGCCCTAAATTGAAGTACCTATTATTCCTCCTGCAAGGAGGTTTAACAGGTAGTTCGATTTAGAGCTTTAATTTGAAATACCGGGTCCCTGCCACATGTAGACGCGGGCAGTTAGTCCAGACTTGTAAATTTCAAAAATGGCGACCGGCTGGGAAGATGCAAATCAAGTGCTGGATATTTAAATCCCGGGCTTGATTTACAACTTCAAATGCCTACATTAGCCTCCCTAGTTCGAACTAGGGAGCTAGTGTAGACATACCCTTAGAGCTAAATCACAGCATAGAACACTGAGAGCCAGGACTGGTGACTAGTATCAGAGGGGTTGCCGTGTTAGTCTGGATCTGCAAAAGCAACAAGTAGTCCTGTAGCACCTTAGGGTACATCTACACTAGCTCGTTGGTTCGAGCTAGATAGGATAATGAGGGCAAGCGGAGTTGCAAATGAAACCCGGGATTTAAATATCCTGGGCTTCGTTTGCATGTTCCCAGGCGCTGCCATTTTTAAATCCCTCTGAGTCCGAACTCAGTGCCCGCGGCTACACACGGCACGGAATAGGTAGTTCGAATTAGAGATCCTAAGTCGAACTACCGTTACTCCTCATTCCTCCTTATTTTGAACTAAGGGTGCAGTGTAGATGCACCCTTAGTCTTGCACTATCTCATAAATCCCCCCAAAATTGTGTATTCAATACATTCATGTGTCTCTTCATAAAAGCTTCTTATTTTTACAAAAATAAAATCTGATGCACATGTTCATCTATTGTGAACCTTACATTCCTTACTAGAGATTTGACTCTTTTCCCTCTGGCTGTGTCTACACTGACTCTTTACCGGCATTTTTAAAAGCCGGAAAAAAGCGGCGGACATTTTTATTTAAATGCCGCGGGGGATATTTAAATCCCCCGCGCATTTCCCTACTACGACTCATGAAATTAACATGCCCCTTCCGGAAAAGGGGCCAGTGTAGACGTAGCCCTAGAGAATGAGTATGATGCATCTGTACATGCATCTGCCGAAGTGGGTCTTTGCCCATGAAAGCTTATGCTCCAATACATCTGTTCGTCTATAAGGTGCTACAGGACTGTGAACTAACTTTATGGGACTGTGGGAAACTTGGCCACGCCCATGATAAGTCGACATCCGGCTCACTAACATCATGCCGGACCACGGATGTTGCCGGACTAGAGAGTGCTGGGCTAAAGAAGTTCCACCTGTACCATACTTTAATGCCTCGCTCTTTAAATTACCTTACAGAATCCAACTTTCCATGGAAATTGCAGATCAGAAATGTCCTCTGACTACAGCTATTTCAAACCCAATCCCTTGCCCCCAGTTTTAATAAGTGTCTCAAGAGCTTGCAGAAACTACAGCCCATTTAGCCCTTCATCTCTGTTCAGTCAAAGTCATTCCAAACATGTTACACCTTTCATGCTGTATAATACCTCCTACTTTTCTACCTCCAGAAGCTATTCAAAGTAATGGATCCTGATGATTTCTTTCTTGCACTGTGATTTTTTTAAAGCTTGTGTATTTGAATACCCGCCCCCTCCCCTTGCAGAATGAGGCCTTTGAGAAGTAATGCACATAAAAGCAAAGCGCTCTTTAAATGGCAGAGCAAAACACTCACGGAAGTTCATAAATGGCTTGCTATTTAAATCTCATAAAAGCAGCCTCGTTAATTACTTCAGTTTTGCAGGTTTCCTGTAAATTGTGCACTGTACCCAAGGTCAGCAATAAAGAGAGAAAATTCTGCAACTGCTACAGAAAAAAAAACCAGATTTCCTTGCATGCAAGATGTTTGGGTAATTTGCATTAGAAACAATTGGCTTAATTTGTGCAGTTGTTACAGTTCAGCAGTGTGACCTAGTGCTTGAAATATGTACTGTTATCTTTTTATTTCTTTTCTCTCTTTATTTTCGGATGCCTTTAAACTGCTTTTCCCTACTCTCCCAGGGTCTGAACTGATGCCCAAAGCGCTGTCTACACGGATCATTGGCGGCATCTGGTGGTTCTTCACACTCATCATCATCTCGTCCTACACAGCCAACCTTGCTGCCTTCCTGACTGTGGAGAGAATGGAATCCCCCATCGACTCGGCAGATGATTTGGCAAAGCAAACGAAAATAGAGTATGGAGCTGTGAAGGATGGAGCGACTATGACCTTCTTCAAGGTGAGATCGAACATATGCATTGCCCCCTTGAGACAGAAATGCAAATAGTCAATGAATAGCACCAATGCAATGTTCTTAGAGCCAGGGGAGTAAGAGCAGAGAAAAGCCAGTTAAGTCACCTAGTCCATTTCACCTCCTCTTAACACAAGATTGTTCCTCTTGCATTTTTGCTAGGAATTTGTCCACACCCATTATAAGTCACCCAGGTTATGGACCATCCATTGCTGGCTTCTGCCATAAATGGTATTAAAAATTTTAAATGGCATTGATTTTACAGCTTCAGAGATACAAATGACAATATGCAATGCAAGCTCAGATGCTCCAGATGGAAGGTGTATTCCCAAATCAAGGCAGAGTGTCTGTACAGCTTATACTAAAGTCTTCCAGAAAGTCCTATTTTCCCCAGGCATCTTCCAGACCTTCACTACTCCCCTAGTCCCTCCCCTCCTGCTGCTCAGGGATATTTCCTTGAAGCCCTCAGAGACAAATTGATAGGTGTCTAGATGAATTCAGAATCAAGCTAAGAAAGATTAGAAATGAAAATCAGATTTAGACAAATGCTTCAAACCTCTTTCCACCAATTGTTTTAGCATTTTTAAGCTGTCTGTTGCCTTGTGTGCATCCACTGACATATTAACACAATCACTTCTTATGAGCATACACATCCTCAACTAGCACATTTCAAACTTTATGGGGACTTTCAGTTCAGAAACCTAAGAATTACATTCACCCAGACAGAGAACAGAAACAATACCATGGGCCTTATATGACCAAACACAACTAACCAACACAGCTGAAATAGAAACAGAACACTGAATAATTTTGAAGAACAGACAAATTGTTCAGGAGAAGGTTCAGATCTGCTAGCCTTTTTGTGGTCTTTCTTTTCTCACTGGTGCTGAGGGAGGGAATGGTTTGCATGGAGGGTTTTTTTAATTTACTCATAAGTGCATCAGGCAGGGGGTTGAGTAGCAATTTATCTACCTAAATTGGAATAGATAGTCAGTTGCTTGTTTCAGTGTATGTAAGTATGAAATTGTCCATTTCATTTGTTATCTGGGCATATACAGGACAGGAGGGGCACCTGCTGACAGTGTTACATCTGTGATAAATCATAAGAGTAAAGAAAATAAATGAATGGAAGAAAATCGTCATCTCTTCTCACATGCGAAGACATTAAAGTCATCAAATAAACTTGCTTTTAGGATTGCTAGTAACTAAAAGTTGTAGCTCGGACATGGACCTATTCCATACAAAGCTTGTGTAGTCTCAGGTTCTTCCCTTGCTATAAGGTTCTTGTTATAACAGTATTCTTCCCCCATCTCTGAATACTGTGGGGCCAAATATTTAATCCATACTAGGTCAACTGGGTTGCAGCCCTGGAATGTAAGGATCACAAGGAGCAAGATTAGCATCCAGTGATAGGCATGTTAGTCTGTATCTGCAAAAACAATGAGGAGTCCCTGTGGCACCTTACAGACTAGCAGATTTATTGGGGCATAAGCTTTGGGCATATGTTTTCATTTGGACAGATGCATCTGACAAAGTGGGTTTTGCCCACAAAATGCTTCTACCCAGATAAACCTGTTAGTCTTTCAGGTGCCGAAGAAACGAGATTGTTTCCAGGATCATTCCTCCCTGGTCTTCAGAAAACAATGCAATATAATTTACTGCCCGCCCCTCTCTGCATGTCGGGAGGAGCAAGGAAATGCAACGTGCCAAATGGAGACCCATTCATTGTCCCAGATCTGACTATTCAGAAGAGACTGGTGATTTTGGGACTAGCACCTCCTTAAAGGGGCCTGATTCTCCGTGTGCGGTGCTCAATGCTTTCTCAAAACCAGGCCTAGTGAAAGTGTCTCAAGATCATACCCACCAGAGGACAGTTGCCCAGGGCCCCGGCAATTGAAAGGGGCCCGGGGCTCCCATCCACCACTGTCATTACTATGGTAGTAGCAGTGGCTGGAGCCCAGGCCCTTTAAATTGTCGCACTGTTTAATGCTCTGCGTAGCCATTTTAAGGGCCTGGCACTATAGGCAGCTCTAGGGCTGGTGGGGGGGCACACTCCAGGTGCTGCAGAAGGATGGGCTGCTTTGGCCCCGCCCCTTCCACCTAAGGCCCCGCCCCTTCCAGAGCACAGGGGCAGGCCTCCCCCACCTTTCCCAGGGGTCTGCAGGGAATGTCAACGCTTCTGCTCAAGATGCAAATTTAAACCCTAGTCTACCAACTTAGATAGTGCATGACCAACACCTCTGTTATTTTCATGTTCCCAATACTAACACTGAAGGCACAGAGTGGACAAAAGCCATGGAGAACAAATATCAACTAATTTTCAGTCAAAATAACAGCCACAAGGACACAAACAGAAGGTTCAGCTGATGTTGAACTTGCTGGAAAAGCATTGTCCAAGTGGCATTGAAGAGGCTTTACTCTGCCTAACAATAGACCTTTGGGATTTCCACCCTCTCCCGCACACTAGCTCTCAAATCCGGCCAGACAGCAAGTAATTCCCTGCTCTAATATGAAGTGTATTAAAGAAACTGGAACCCAAGAGGTGCCTTCATTCGGGAGCTAATAGAACAATAGCATCTGACAAGATGCTAGTTAGGCCTCAGCTGGAGTAGTGTGTCCAGTTCTGGGCGCCACATTTCAAGAAAGATGTGAAGAAATTGGAAAGGGTACAGAGAAGAGCGACAAGAATGATTAAAGGTTTAGAGAACATGACCTATGAAGCCAGGCTTCATGAACTGGACTTGTTTAGTTTGGAAAAAAGAAGATTAAGGGGGGACATGATAGCGGTTTTCAAATATCTAAAAGGGTGTCACAAGGAGGAAGGAGAAAATTTGTTCCTCTTGGTTTCTGAGGACAGGACAAGGAGTAATGGGCTTAAAGTGCAGCAAGGGAGGTTTAGATTGGACATTAGGAAAAAATTCCTAACTGTCAGGGTGGTCAAATATTGGAATAAATTGCCAAGGGAGGTGGTGGAATCTCCCTCTCTGGAGATATTTAAGAACAGGTTAGATAGACATCTGTCAGGGATGGTGTAGACGGAGCTTGGTCCTGCCCTGAGGGCAGGGGGCTGGACTTGATGACCTCTCAAGGTCCCTTCCAGTCCTATGATTCTATGAAGACTCAGAGAGCAACTAGCTACTGTGATAGACACCCAAGATTTTATCAAGCACTAAACCCCTTGCAGAAAAAGACCCATGGCAGAGAAAAGGGGAAGAAAACAAAACAAACCCAAGCAGAAAACCAAGAGGAAGGGAATCCGATGCCTGCTTTGTCTCTTGGCAATACCATGTTAAGGCATTTAAGCCACGCCTATGAAAGTCCAGGCAGAGCAATGCTACCAATACATCGCAACCACGTCATGGAAGGTAAATCACGTTCCTTCCTTCCATTCAAAAGGAAATTAATTTCAGAAGTTGTCCGACACAGCAGAGAACATGCAAAGAGCTGTCACATTTTACTGCTGCTTAGAAGATGAAAATTAATTAAGAGTGTTAAAAAGGTCTTTGAAACCACAGTTGGGTTTTAAAGTATGTGTTAAAAAGGAAGGGGGGGAGGGAATAAACGAGAATAGGAAATGGAGAGGGACTTGTCTAGGCATTCGGCTCCTTTGCAAACATGATTTTCTGGGTTTTTATGTTTTGAGGATGAATTTTAAATAGTCCTTTGCAAAGAAAAGATTGGGATCGGCAAATGCAGGCTTTTATCCCATGCCGCTGGTAACACTCACAACTAGGTTGGTTTGCTAGATCCTGATTCACCAAAGCACATCAGAGCTTTAAAAGGAAAAGTTGTTACCTGACTGTCTATCTTGCCAGAGTGAAAAGAGGTCCCAGCCCAGCATCCCTACCCTGGAATCGCACTGATGCTTGCTGAACCCCCATTGCTATCGTGTTTGAATAACTTGCCATCATTGATAAATGTTGTCTTCACCACATGCCTCTCAGATGGGGAAGTCCTCTCCTCATTTTCACAGAGGGGGACCCGAGGCCCAGCATGGGGAAACGATTTGCCCAAGCTCATATAAAAAATCCATGGCTGAGTTGGGAATTTAAATCAGGTGTCTTCTGTCCCGGTCTAGCTCCCCAGCTGATTCCATTCATGTAGCAGACCATTTACATGGATTGTGCTGGTGGAGGGGTTTTTAATACTGCACAGCTGCAGATTAAACCACATGGTACGGAATCAGATTTGTGATTGTTCTTCTGTAGCCAAACATGGAATTAGAGCCTTGAAGAAGGAATGACAAATACAGTAAACTTGTGATAATCCGGCACCTTTAGGACCCAGGGGGTGCCGGATTATCAGATATGCCGGACTATCGGAAGACTGACCCTTGGCGCCGCGAGACCAACCCCCTTACAATATTCTGGCTCTGCCGCAGACATCCCCGATTCAGCTGCTGGTCAGTTTCAGCAGCAGTTGAATCGGGGAAGCCGGGAGCAGAGTAGCTCCAATGGTCCGGCTGCCCGGAGCACTTCCGGGTTCCTGATGGTACCAGACCATCAGGAGTGCCGGACCATCAGATGCCGGACCAATGGAGTTTTACTGTAGTAGTTTATATTTTGCATTTGTTGAACGATTTCCATCCACGGCTCTCAATGCATTTTCTGACTATTAAGGTAGGGTAAACGGTGGGTGCTGTGTGCAGGTAAACCTTGCATTCCCTGCTAGCAGGCAGAGGCCAAGCTTCAGAGAGATGGGGACTTGGATTCTTCCGATGGTGACAATGTGGCTGCTTTTCTGAGCTGGTTAGCAGGCTCCCAGCGCTGAGGGATGTGCCTTTCTCCAGCCTCTTGATCCCTTCCTATCAGTTCGATTCAGTTGGAAATATATGGACCGAAACGTGACAAAATAGTTCACAACTCAGAAGCCGGGTTGTGCCTGGAATAGCGTCAGACTTCGAATGGGCGCTGTGTAATGGCGTTTAGATTAGCCAGTCAGCAGTTTAATAGCCAAGACTCATTAAAGGGAGCTGGCGCTCTGAATTT